GAGACGGAACGTTTCATTAGAGAAGAACCCGTCCAGAAGACCTATACAATTTTTTTTTCTTTTTTTTTCATCCCATTCTTTCTTCCAATCAATTTCATTGTCAGAACTACTATGAGTTTCCTGAGCAAAGGTAATATTAATACATTTAGTTTTTAAAAGTTCAAAAAAGTAGCTCTTTTCTTTACATCTCTTGCACCATTTAGATTTAAAGAAGAAAAATTTAAACTACTCATAATCACCAAAAAAAAAAACCAAACACTTTAAAGCAATGCGGCAACAAAACTGCTGTCTACTGCTTTTTTGATACATCATTTGTTGTAGTTCTTAGTTTCTGCATCAGTTTTCTAAGACGAAAGATTTCTGTGTCTTTAAGACCTTCTGGACTTCTTTGTCTGATCAAATATTTAACTGATTCAATGAAAACTTTCCTGTTAGGAAAGAAATCATCTATAGCCACATCTCTTTTGCCTTTGGTAACTTCCAAAAAACTACGGATCTGTTCAATGCCGTATCCATTCATTATCTGACCATCAGGAATTGAAGAATCAGAGGTTTCTCTGTCACTACTTAGTCAGAAAAAATATCATACTCACTTTCTTGTACAGACTTTTCTTTTACCTGCATTCTTTTTGCATTAACCGCTTTTGACTGTCTTGTTTTTCTCTTTGCATTTGGTATTTTGAACAAAGCTTCATCGTCTATCACTATTTTTTCTCCATCTAACACTTTCTCTTCCTCCACAACTACAGTCTGATTTTCTGATGATTTGTTTGTTCTATCTGTATGATTCGAAGTTGAAGGAACCTGGCTGCTCTGCTGCATGTCAGAGTCAGACTCTATAACATCTGCACCTCTCTGCACGCTTTCACTTTCCACAGAATCTGTTGTCTCTGTTCTATTAGTGGTCTGAGCAGGCTCTTTTTCTGCTTCTCCAGCTTTTTCAGGACAACTCCGCACTAAATGTCCCATCTGTCCGCATCCAAAACATTTCATTGTTTCAGTTGTTGCATAAATAATATAGTCAAAACCCTCAACTTTGAACTTCATGACTATATTCAGTTCCTCAATATCATTTAGTATCATGTAAACTTGTCTCCTGAAAGACACGTGTTTTAATTTAGCTGATTTGCAACCTGAGGGAATCATTTTCATAGCTGAGACGATCTGACCATGACATGACAATTCCCTCAGTAACACCTTGTCACTAATGAAAGGAGGCAAGTTCGACCGGATGATTTTTTTTGCTGGATTCATCAGAGGGAACACAGTCGTCTGAGTATTTCTCAGAACTATCCCTCGTTCAATAACCACATTAACTTTATCAATGGTCTCCAGGAACAAAACAACAGTATTATTCATCCTAGTCGCTGCTTTCACACTTTCATATCCAATCACTTCTCCCACCGCTAACGCACACTCTTCAACCGAGTAATCCACGCCCACCGGCACCTTAATGCCGTGACGACGGGACAGACTCCCAAAGCCAAAAGTTTTCCCGGCCATTGCACCAGCTCGGTGCTGCCGAAGAGGAAATTCAGAAACCACCCGTGAACGTCAAATAATTTAAACAACTAAATCACACGAGAATCACACATCCAAAGTAAAAGAAAAAGCACCTCAAACCTTTTTTAAGACGCTCACTTCCACTCTTGCCTCCACCCGTGCAACAGACGCTCACGCATGCGCACAGGAAAGAAAGAAAGAAAGAAAGAAAGAAAGAAAGAAAGAAAGAAAGAAAGAAAGAAAGAAAGAAAGAAAGCATTATTGCCCACTGCCGTTTGGCAGCTGG